AATGTGATTTTATGCAGCAGTTCAGTAAATAAGAAGTTGATAGTGTTATATTTCAAACACAATATGTATTCTTTTGGTGAAGAAAAAGTACACACTTTTGAGTGTGTAGTAGAAGAGTAGGCAAGCTTTGTGACATACCATCACGTCACACAACTGTGTCTTTAAAGGACCGCTGTGTAGCACCTGTTACACGCACCCGGTCACTGTAAACTGGCCTGTCAATCATCTTGTCACAGTCAACATCCTCCACATTTCATTTCATTTAACTTCCTAACGTATCAGAGAGAAAAGTAGCTCGCTGATCTGCCAGTCGCGGGTCTTTCATGCGGAGAACTCTGCTCATATTTTCTGCATAATGATGCATTTAAAAGTTAACAACCAAATGGATGTTTATAAAAGTTCACAGTGCTGTTGCAGATGAAATATAACACGGATAACAATAAATAATTTTTTTTTACCAGGTTAAATGTTGATTATTAGTAACTCAAACCCCTTTTTGTAAACATACCTAACCGTCGATCGCGCGCATCCGCCACATTTGTAGTTTTTCTAACGCGTTTTATTCACGTTTGTAGTTCTGCATCGCAAAAAATTGCTTATCTTACTTAGTATTTTTGCCTTGCTTCTAGTCAAAATATCTAAAAATTTTAGTATAGTATTTCAGTCTGGCGAGTAAGCCAAAAAAATATACTAGCCAATGGCGATTCAATTGCCAAGGTGTCCGTAGAGGGTTGACTGTATAAAAACAGTTTGTGCTGCACTGTATTTGTTTTGTCCTATCGTATCATATGTTGTTGTCTTATTAAAAAATATGCTATACATTTTAAAAGAAATGTATTTTAATTTTATAGTAAATACATTCATGAATGTTTTTAATGAATGGATTTTATAATAATACAAATAGCAATGTGTAACATTTTACCATATTTAGTGCAACACTTTTATTTGTTCCCCACAAAATAGTTTTTTCACTAAATGTTTGGATTGTAAAATTATTGTGCACTGATTTTTCTAGAATAACTTTTGCTGCCGAATTATCCACTAACCTAGTTTATGATCATTTTTTGTCATAGATTATAAATATACATAGGCCTATATTTTTCATATTTGTTTATTTTATTTTTCTTTATAATGAAGTAGTCTGTATCTAGTAGATTGTGAAAGAATGATTATCAGTTCCACACACAGAGATATATAAATTCTAAATTTATTTAAATGAGGGAAAAAAACTTCACTGGTATCTGTATCGGCCAATACCGAACCCTAGGTATCGGTATCGGAGGCGAAAAAGGCGGATCGGAGCATCCCTAGTAGTTAGCAGTGTATAATGACTTAAGATATGTAGTCTTGTTTCCGTGTGGGGGGGGCAAGACTAAAGGCTAAATATCTGCATTTTATGTGCATTTTGCTTAAAACAAGTAAAATTATCTGCCAGTGGGGTAAGTAAAATATTCTTAAAACAAGAGTATTTTATTTACCCCACTGGCAGATCATTTTCCAAAAGCGCAATGGATTGTGGGCAATTTTTGCCATTAGAGTGTGCACGGATACATACTTCAAAATCGATCTGAAATAGTAGACCATCCGGGGACTTTTGGCATACTCTTTTCAACATACTATGCTTTGGGACACACTTATTCTAATCTCACATACTATTTAGGATGGATAAATATGAACATTGAGACGCAGGGCTAGATAAAAAAAATAATTACTGCCACCTGCTGGCAGATTTTCTTATTAAGCGTATCATTTAATTAAAATAATAATAAAAATAAAAACATTAAAGGGATAGTTCACCCACAAATATTAAATTCTGTCATCATTTACTCAGCCTCATGTCGTTTCAAACCTTTCTTTTGTGGAACATAAAAGGTATTTTGAAGACTGTTGGTAACAAAGCTCTTTTGGTTACCAATGACAATCATTGTATAAATATATACTGAGATGTTTCTCAAATTATCTTTTATGTTCCATAGTTTATGTTAGGCTGTTGTAGCCTAAATGTTTGTGAAATAAGTTTTTCAGTGACAGCTAAGTGTAGTGCAACATCTTACACAAACTGTTAATTTTATGTTGAATAAAATTAAAATAGTTCTAAAGCTACAATTTGTAATGTCTACTCGATACTTTATCATTTAACAGTCAAATTTATTTTGCGATCAATTAATTGAAACATGTAATTAATTAGATAAAAAAATGTAATCGACTGACATTCTGTCATCATTTACTCAGCCTCATGTCGTTTCAAACCTTTCTTTTGTGGAACATAAAAGGTATTTTGAAGACTGTTGGTAACAAAGCTCTTTTGGTTACCAATGACAATCATTGTATAAATATATACTGAGATGTTTCTCAAATTATCTTTTATGTTCCATAGTTTATGTTAGGCTGTTGTAGCCTAAATGTTTGTGAAATAAGTTTTTCAGTGACAGCTAAGTGTAGTGCAACATCTTACACAAACTGTTAATTTTATGTTGAATCAAATTAAAATAGTTCTAAAGCTACAATTTGTAATGTCTACTCGATACTTTATCATTTAACAGTCAAATTTATTTTGCGATCAATTAATCGAAACATGTAATTAATTAGATAAAAAAATGTAATCGACTGACAGCCCTAATATATATATATATATATACAATTTTTACATTAACCTCATTCAAGCAATCTGTTTAAAACTAAATAATTGGCTTTAGATTTCAAAGCATGCATGGCTGATATCTCCACAGAGATATTAATGAGCACTGTTTTACTGTTAGTTTTTAGAGTTGACTAATCACAGACTATTCCTGTCAATACTTTTCTTCCAAAAAATACAGCTATTAGAAAACGCATAGATGAACCCAGAAGAAAAAAAACAACAAAACATTTGATCTATTTTTTGTACCACTTTATCAACACAAACCTCGCTGGTAATTTCGCTGGTACCTGTGATCAGTGACAATAAAGGGCTCATTCATCAACACAAACCTATTCATAGGTACTGTACTGAAAGATAACTTCAGACCAAACGTGGGCAGAAGATCTAAGATCTATAAGTGCATGTTATTGATCTTATTCGGAACAATTCTTCTAAGCATATGTTTCTTCTTTTTTTTGTGTGACCCCGTGAGTCTTAAACATAACTTGATCTTTCAGTGAAACAACAGACTTCTCTGTGGTGAACACAGAAGAAAAGATCTGTTGTTACTTCAGTTTCATCACAACTTTAAGAACTGAATTCTCTAAAAGTTTAGCTCAGAAGTGCCCAGTCCCGTTTCTGTAGATCTACTATCCTGTAGAGTTCTGCAGGACGGCAGATGTCTAGGAACAGGCCAAATAACCCATCTTATTTATAAATATTGTCAGCAGTCATTACAGACTATTTAATAACTGAGCATTCAATGGATTTGATTTATGTGATGTCAATTCATGCAATTATACACTGCTAACTACTAGGGATGCTCCGATCCCCCTTTTTCGCCTCTGATACCGATACCTAGGGTTCGGTATTGGCCGATACAGATACCAGTGAAATTTTTTTCCCTCATTTAAATAAATTTAGAATTTATATATCTCTGTGTGTGGAACTGATAATCATTCTTTCACAATCTACTAGATACAGACTACTTCATTATAAAGAAAAATAAAATAAACAAATATGAAAAATATAGGCCTATGTATATTTATAATCTATGACAAAAAATGATCATAAACTAGGTTAGTGGATAATTTGGCAGCAAAAGTTATTCTAGAAAAATCAGTGCACAATAATTTTACAATCCAAACATTTAGTGAAAAAACTATTTTGTGGGGAACAAATAAAAGTGTTGCACTAAATATGGTAAAATGTTACACATTGCTATTTGTATTATTATAAAATCCATTCATTAAAAACATTCATGAATGTATTTACTATAAAATTAAAATACATTTCTTTTAAAATGTATAGCATATTTTTTAATAAGACAACAACATATGATACGATAGGACAAAACAAATACAGTGCAGCACAAACTGTTTTTATACAGTCAACCCTCTACGGACACCTTGGCAATTGAATCGCCATTGGCTAGTATATTTTTTTTGCTTACTCGCCAGACTGAAATACTATACTAAAATATATATATATATATAAAGTTATGCCATTTTACAAATATATATAATGTTTGATATTTGATATCAGCATTTTAAATATCTGAAAGTACACTCTTAATATCAAGCAGTCAGGCTTTATAATATGATAATCAAGTATTATTTAATAATAGAAGTTTAGTAATTGGAATTAAAACTTGGTAACCATGAACTTAGGACTGGTGCTGGTGCTTTTTTTGGTCATTCAGTGTTCCTGTAAAAAAAAACAAAAAAAAACGAACAATACTGATAAGATATTATTATTATTATTATACGATTCTACTAATAAGAACAATATAAAAACGCACTAAGGATTAATGAGCTACTGGTTCATGAATATTAATCAGGTTGTGTGCGTTTGCTCGAACTGACTCAGTCAGAGTGTTCTGTGAGTGAAAATATATCTGTGCTAATCATATACTCAGCCTCCAACTCGCACACTGACGATTAAAATCTGAGAATTTATTAGCCATCGGCTAATATTAGACATCATTTAGTCGCCAGAGTGAAGATTTAGTCGCGTTTGCGAGTGATTTACTCGCAATATGGGTTGACAGTCTATGTATGAGCACGAAGCGCATGGTAAGCGCTTAGTGTTAAAAACTGCAAAGCACAAAGGGAAGATAAATTAATGCGTAGTGTATTATATCTGTGCAACAGTTATTGAGTCTTTCTTTTAACAGTTTTACATTTCAGTTACTGTGCACGTTAAAAACTATTTATAGTCTTTTCTACGCCTGTGTTTTGTTCTCACAGACACCCGGTAGCAAGTAACAAGACAACATTAAACTCCGGCAAGAAGATAAAGTCCTTTTTGCAAAATCATAGACATGTATTTACAAATCAAGTATAATGGGAACACAGAATGATCTTGGAGAGAGCTTTACCGAGCTGACCGCTGTAACCGAACGCGACCAGGGTTTAAAGGCTGAATGAATGACTGACAGCCACAGCGGAGAAAAGAGTTTGTGTGAACTTTAATGTAAGGACTTAAATATTCATATGTAGCTCACATTAAGCTATCGTATGGCTTCAGAAGTAACAGAATAATTCACACAATCGGAAAAAAAAAAAAAAATGTATCGGATTTGGATTGGCCCTCTCTGACCGATACCCGATCCAAGAAAAATGGCAGTATATCGGAGCCGATACCCGATATTAATACCGGATCGGCGCATCTCTACTAACTACTAAAAATAACAATTAAATATTATTCTTCAAAAACAATGTTGTAAGTCCACCATTGATGGTGGTTTCATAAGTACCCTCAGCTGGACCCCTTCCACCTCATCGGCCAATCAAAATGTGCACTTTTATCTTTCATAAAAAATGGTTTATGGCCCTCCATGGTTAAAACAACAAAAGCACATCTCTTCAATCCTCTTCATCTATAGCACGAGCATCTCATTGACCTTTCAGCATTTTTTAAAAATCACCACAATTTAAAATCGTTCTCACTCCCTTTTGGCCATACACACACACACACACATCTGAACATAATGATAACAGAGACCACAGAGCCAGTAAAGTGTTTGCCTAGCAACAGGGACATAATTATATTTTTCCAACACAAAATGACCCCTGAGCAGCAGCATTTTGAAGTAGCTGAATGACAGACATTATGTGGAATATTTGGCCTAAGAAAGGTGGGCCTGAGTCAGTGACGTTTCAGGCAAGTCCGTGTCTCTGAAGGACTCTTCATTCTGACCTGCCTGAGAGTGCATTCACATGGTCATTGTTCAAAAGGTCAAACATTATTACTGTGCTGCCTCACTGTGACATGGGCAGGAGTGCTTTAATCATGTGGTCACAGGGACATAGAAAAGAGAGAGGGAATGGCAGAGAGAAATGAGAGGAAGAATTTAAGGGAATGCTGGTAATAAGGCTGTGAAGAAAGAGAATGAAGAAAGGATCGGCAAAGGAACTTGGGAAAGCTTGCTTGATACCATTGGAACACGGAGGTGTAATCACTGCCATGCAGGCAATAAGAGGAGCGAGAAGAATATTATGCATATAATTTTATTTTGTTGTTTATTTTAGAAAAAGTGAAGTCAATCATATCTGCATGAATCTTTCAGAAGCCCTCCTTTGTAATCACACAGACTGTTTTATTGCGTTATAAAGCCATTTGGGAAGCCAAATGCTCGAAAAAGTGGGTTGAAACTGCACTACTCAGTTGAATCGCGCAGCACGAATCACTGGAGATCTGTTTACTTGCACGGCCCACTGAACAGTGCAGAATCTGTTCCATTTACTTGCGCAACCTACAGACAGCGCAAACCAAGGTTCTTCAGATTATAAAAAGGTAAGAAAGATGGTTCTTTAAAGAACCTTTGACTGAATGTTTCTTCTAGGGCATCGCAGTGAAGAACCTTTTAAGCACCTTTATTTTAAGGCGTGCAGGAGCTGCACAGTCCTACTCACACCCACAGCAGTGCAGCAACAATGATGCACTTCAGGCTGTTGTTTTGACTTTTTTTGCACAAAAAATACAAATTAAAATAAAAACGATAATACTATAGCATAGTATTATTACAATGGTCCCACGTGTTAAGCAAAACATTTCCCATCAAGGAGTTATGTTTCAAATGATAAAAAATGGCTTAAGTTTTGGTTGTCAAAAAAGAGTGGAATATATTCATTGTTGATTTTATGCATTCATTAAAAATCACTTTGGAACCAGTCAGTCAAAATCAACAGCAAAAATGGCTTAGAGAGGTTTTTGTGAAAAACTTAAAAAAACTTTAATAATGTCATTGTATGCAACTTTATTCATTTTAAAGGTGTACAAAAGTGTATACGTTCCACTGTATATTGTATTACGGTCTATATTATAAAATACAATTAATTCAGAGGTTGACATGGCACTTTATGTAAAAAAGGCTGCCGACCCCTAGAGGAATCACAGGACAGCTTTTAACAACTGTAAACAAGGCTGGATAGAGTGAAAGATTAAAAAGAGAGGAAATGATTATGATCATCACTGAAAAGACAGGATGTGCTAAACACCCCGAGCATCCAGGTCTAATGAACGTACATCACATCAGAGAGTTGTTTAGCCCGCACTGCTCCAAGCTATTTATAGCTAGCGGGATCGATCACCCATCTGATGGGCCGCCACGATAGCGCTGATTAAGGTGGGAGATTAATGGCAGATTAACGGGTTTCCTCAGTGTTTCCGCCAGGCATCGTTTAAATCATCTCCCAGCAGAATGACAGCAGTACTTGCAGTGTAAATAGGAGCTTTGATAAGATGGCCTGACAAATAACTCAGTTTGGCCCTTGAGCTTTAGTTATCTGATGTATGATATAATTTGAGATTCGAACCACAGGAAAGGAATCTGAAATCTCTTTCCATAAATGGCTAGAGGGTTTTGGGCAAAGGTCCATGAACGATTTCAAGATTTTAAACGTCTCACTAGTTCAATCTAATGGTCCTGCAGAGAGACAAATGGATTTTGATAAAGTACAAATATTTAATGTGGTCTCTCAATTAAATGTAAATAAAAATGCATAATTATGAAATTTGATTTATCAAATTTGAAAAATGCTGTTTTACATGGAATTTAGCTTGTCACACCACATGACAGTTCAAACTTTTTATGACAACAGACCCCTAATGATATAATGACTTTTTTTTATTTTATTTTAACAAAATAGTTAATTATTAATTTAATAACATCATTGCTAAAAGCTAAAAACATATTATTTGCATGTGCAATTTTTTTTCCCCTGAAATGTGTCATTTGGCAGGCGCTCTATTTGTTTGTATTCATCCGATGCGGAGCTGTGGCCTTAATTTCCCCTCATCAAAACTCGGGAGGATTTTGTTTGTCCTTCACTTTGCTTTAATCTCTGTAAATCCCTGCCTGCCTTCTTTGATCTCCATTTGTGTGTGAGTGGGAGGGTCCTCTCCATATTTGTGTGTGACTGGAAGGGCCCTTTTGCCAAACTCCCCCACCCAACCCGATCCTTAGAATAACTCATCTATCATGCTTCTCTAAGATTAGTACAAAGATAGACTGAAAGCAGAAAGAGACTATTGGATGATATCCTCATATCTGAACCTCATGTATCTCAGCAGGGCTCAACAGTGCAAGTGTTTCACTAGCATTTGCGACCAAAAATAGATGTGTGTGAACTTTAAAACTTTAGGAGCACGTTTGCGGATAAAAAAAAAAAAAGTCCATGCAGGTCCCTAAAAAGTCCAAGAAATCAACTTAGCTAATGGCAACAAACAACCAGGGTATGGCCGGGTATGGTGACTTTTGTTGCTCGTTCGATGAGGTTGCAGGTTCAGAGCAGTTCGTAATCAATAAATATTTATGCTAATACATTGCTTATGATCTACTGTTGATGAATTATGACAAGGTTTACGTCTTAGCATTTATATTGTTATACATTATGATATAGATGGTAGTAAGAGTAATTATTTTGTTTCCCTCATCTTTCTGAATGAGCAGCCAGCAATAGTAAAGCTTCGACATTTCAATTCGGGTTTGTTGTTATTGGTATTTTGGTAACTGTATCTGGCATTTAGTGTAAGTTTAGCGAAGAAACCATTTTAATTTAGAAATCGCTAGTAAATTTCACAAGCAATTACAAAGAAATGGCAAGCAACACATTGAATTAAACGTAGTAGAAAAACTCAAATAGGATTTTCTTGTAAAACATACTCCATCGATCTTTGTTTTATTTAAAACTTTGTAAAATAATTCTTTATAGTGTAGCTTCTGTCTGGGCTGCCTGTCACATAGGAAAAATAGACTAAAATTAGAAGTTTACACAGTTTCTAAAGTTTAAAGTAGGTGTATAAATAAAGAATTATTAAATTCAATTTGAAGCAGAAATACTATTCTTCTTGTATTCTAAATTAAATAATTGTGCTTACATCTCCTTGTATGCCTTTATTAAGGAAAAAAACATTATTTGCTGAATTTTTATTACGCCCCTAAAGTTTTTTTTTTTCATGACAAAGGGTAGGTTTCCTGATAAAGGGTCTACGGCAGTGATATTTTCTGCCAAGAACCAAACATCAAAAAGGACATTAAAAGTTTTTTTTTTTTTTGACAAAGGTAAACAAAATCTCCTTAAAAATCAAACATTGCATTTACCTGATATAACTAAGAACTGCACAGGCCCAGCAATATGCTAAATTAGAAAGCACGTTAAAAAGAGAGACAGAGAGAGAATCCTGAGATGCATCAACACAGACTGAACATTCTAAAACAGAAACGATGCTGTAACCTTTTTTAAAAAAGAAATCATATAAGAGCATCTAACAACCTTCAAGAATCCACCCACTGAATAACAATTAACATGAGCAATTCCCTGAGACAGTATATGTGTCAGGATTATGGACTATTCTGTGTGTGTTTTTGCCCCTGTGACCCAGTTTCTTCCTCATGTTGATTGTGTTAATTTGATTCCAGGTGTGTCTCATTCCTCCCCAATTATCCTGCCTTTAAAAGCCCTAGTCCTTTCAGTTCGTGTTTGTTGGGTCTGCTTGTTGAATGTCCTTGTTCTCGGGTTTCCTGTGGATTATTAAAGAATGTTATTCAAGAACTCCTCGTTCCTTGCTCCCCGAGTGAATTGTGACAATATGAGACCAAACACATCTCTTTATGCAGAACCTTGTTCACCGATCCTCTGAAAGTTCACAAACACTCTGTGGCTATTAGGATAACCCAGACTATGCAGCTCTGATGTTATTGACAGTGAAGGTAATGGAGTTTATTTAGAAAACTCAAGATTCTTGTACTTGTCTTAGGTGTTAAAATAAATAACATGTAAACACTGCCAACTTATGAGCAACTAGTGTACTGTTTATGCTGACTCTATTCACAAAATGTAGGCCATATACTGCATGCACCCACAATTTGTTTTCACCTTCAAACGCATGTTTACCTGATGATCTAATTATACAAATTTAATTTTCAACCGCCCTTTCTCTTATCCATTAGTGCATTATTGGGCATCAAAGTTTCAGAAAATTCAGAGACATAACTTTGAGTAATCCTGACATTTTAACAGAATGAGGCAAGCCTGTCAGCTGCAGTTTCTGGGCTGAGCTATACTTCCTCTGAAATCAAGAGGTAAACCAGCAATCAAATGGGAAGGAGCCCTACTTAGCATGCCTGCCTTACATACTGTGTGATGTATGCTCAACTCTTAATATTTGGAGGCTGAGCTCTAAACATTTTTAATGATGCATACTGTCCTAACATGAGAGGAGTTTGTACTAGTGATGATAACTAGTGCAGATATTGTTCAGGGGTATGCAATCTCAAAGATTATTGGAGTATGTTTTATAAGAAAATGCAATTTCAGTCTTTCTACTTTTAAAATTTCATGTTCAATTCATGGAGTTTCTTGCTGTTTCTCAGTGTAATTGCAACACCTCCCGATAAGGCTAAATCATCATGCATGATTAATAATATTAATACTTTTAATACTAATACGTTTAATTTCCCACAAAAAAAGAAAAGATGAGGTCAATGATGAGGATACAGTCAAATCGAAGTCATTGCATAACATTTTTCTTACATGAAATGCATCCTTAGTTTTGCAGTAATTTCTTGTGGATTTGAGCAACGTCTGGGCCGTCCTGCAGACAACACTGACTAAACCCGCAGCTTTAGGGTCAGCAGAAAACAATCACACTGATCTCTTGGCAAGCTGAATTTTGATTATTTCAGACGTCAGTGCCACTCACAAACAAATGAATTCTTACACAGGGCATTTTGTGATTATTTATGGCCGTCTGCCTCTGGCATTTCAAATCTGCTTTGGATTTGTGTGGTTCATTTAATTCACATTTAACATTCATGCTTAAAGTAAAGTACATAGAGATTGCACCTTTTTTAATTCGACAGCTCTGCTCTGACTTGAGTTGAATGCCTGTTCTGGAGCTTTTCATAGATAGGCACACCAGCACATAGAGCTGGATCTGTTGGAGGATAAAATATAGGCCCTGGAATTAAGGGTGAAAACCATTTTTAATTGAATACCTTATGGAGGATTAGGAGAGTATAACCTCTGTCCTGTCCCAAAGGATTCACAGCTGCCTGTGTGCATGTTCATCACTTTATAGCATATATACATATATATATATATATATATATATATATATATATATATATATATATATAACTTCCAAGTTTTACTGAGTGAGAAACCACTCCAAACGATTCAGTGCATGAGTGAACTGTCCAAATAACTTGCACTGAATTGTAAACCAATTTTCCTGACTGACTCCATGAAAATAATTTTTTTTCTGGTTTATAAAAATAAAAATAACGACTTTATTTAACAATTTGTCTCCTCCGCATCACCCTATGGTGCCATTTAAACGTAAACAATGTATGCTGTTCTGTGTCAGCAGCACCATACACAGATACGTGGTTTTCGTTGTTTACGCTTTGATCTGAACGTAAATAACCTATCTGCGTACATGCGTTGCTTACTTTTGTGATACTCTAAAATGGCGCTATAGGGTGACATGGAGGAGACAAATTGTTGAATAAAGTCGTTATTTTTGTTTTCTTTGTGCACAAAAAGTATTCTCGTAGCTTCATAAAATTACGATTGAACCACTGATGGTCACATGGACTATTTTAATGATCTCCTTGCTACGTTTCTGAGCCTTGATCATGATTTTCATTTTTGGGTGAACTATCCGTTTAATAAAAAAAGTCAGGTCCAATTCTAAACAGCTGAGAGAAAAACACTTGATCGCTTGAATACTGTCAGAAAAATTTAATGCTGTAGAGTTTGTCAGCTCTGCCCCGCTACTAATCAATAAAATAGCTTCACTGCTGAAAAGCTACATGATTTAAAATCCAGCTTCAGTATTTGGAGTGACGCCCAAAACTGATTATAAATATAGCAAGACGTCCCTCCAGAATTTTATGAATGTGGTGAAAACCAACTGAAAACGGCTCCATAAATAAACACCCACAAAACACACCTAACACTCAACAGAAAAGACAGTAAACACATGACTCAGAAGCACACAGACTTGACTGCCTAAATTCCTTAATCTACATCAACAGCTGGAAAGCCTATGTAAGCATGTTTTTTGTTTCTTAAAGAAATTGTGCATACAAAATGGAAGCACATTCTGTGCAGGCAAATAAACAATTCTGCTGCTCGACCAGTGTAATGATAACACGCATGTGCCTAAAATACATGTAAACCAGCAAATGCCTGAGAAACTGCACTGCCATGCAACTGACTGCAATTTGCTTTTCTGTGGTATGATGCCAGAACGACGTTGTCGCATTACAGAGTGACAGTGCTACTTATAATAATAATTGCTGATTCATTTAGCGAAAGCTGAAAGGGTGTAAAAACGACTAAAACCCATTTCTGCCTGCATGCCATTTTGAGTCTAAATTTTTGTTAAAAGCATTCTCCCAGCATAATCAGCTACATTTACTCTAGGGATTTGTCTGATTCTTCACATATCTCACAGTTACGGTCTATTTCAGAGCACTTTTTCCAAAGCGTAACTTATTTAAAGGAAAGTTATTTTCTCCTGGCAAGGGTCCACGAGTTCAATCACTCACACACCTGTTCATGGGAGCTGAAGTCTGTGAGAGACAGATTGAAAATCGCAGAGGGCTTTTGTTCTCAGTGGGGAGCGAGTTAAATGCCACTTGTCTAACAGAAGCTGCAGCACCTCTGCCTGACATGGGCGGTACCGATTGCTCGCAGACAGCAGTCTTCCACATTCCTCCAACAAAACACTCGCAACCTCATTATTCTCACACACTACTCTTACTGCACAATAAACACCACACCAATCACACTTATACACTCGACTTTAAATGTACTGTGGTTTTTATTTGTGGTGCCTTTAGTTGGATCACTTACTGTAGCAGTTTTGCAACATTCCAAGGCAATATTCTATTAAAAACTGCTTTGGAACCAAATTTATTGTGAAAGCGCAACACAAATAAATTTGAAATACAGGGGTTGGACAGAATAATATTGTAGCGATCCCGTAAGGGAAACGACAACTTGACGGTTTCTTTTGTAGCTTGCTTTTTAATCACGAGAGCGCCCGAGGCAAACCCAACGCTTGAGCTCAACTCTCCCCCTGAACTCACAAATTTCCAGAACCTTTTTCTCCTGACTCCACCCACACACGAGTGCGCAGACTCGTTCTTCAGAAGAACACCCACCCCTTAAAGACCCCATGCAAAAAGAACACAAAACACAGGAACAGAACATATTTGACTTAAATCACACCTGACAGCATAACACACTTTTTCAGACTTGCTACACTGCCCCCCCTCACAGAGTTCCTCGACCCTGAGGGAACGAACAAAGTCCCGTAACCTTCTGACTCTCTTGAGGCCGCGGCTGCCCCACCTGTGTTACTGTCACTGGACTATCTAAATGCAACGGTTGCAGCTCAAGAACCAGTGTGGCTGCATGGGGGACTGCCAGAGGACTGGCAGTGCTCGGCTGCAGTCCTGCCTCGCTCTCTGGAACAGGTATATGCGTAGCGGAGGCCGGCGTCATGGCTGCAGTGGCCCCTCCTTTGTAAGGTGCCAATCTATCCCGGTGCGCGGCCACCTTCCTACCCCTTGGAGGCAACTGAACCCGGTAAACAACTTCGCCAATTCTTTCTAGTACACTACATGGCCCGACCCACTGGGAGTCGAGCTTAGGGCACCTGCCCTTCTTCCTCTGTGGGCTGTAAACCCACACCAACTCTCCCGCTGTGAAATGCCGCCCTTTTGTTTTTAGGTCAAAATTTCGCTTCTGCCGGGCCCGGCTGTTGAATGTCTCAGGGCCCGGGGGCACAGCAGGTGCATCTGGTGGCCTCCGAAAAACCATTTCTCCTGGTGTTCTGATCTCGCATACTGGCTGCACATCTGGGTCTTCCTCTTGCAGCCGCCTCCAGTCCTCTACACTCACTGTCTCAACTGCCAAACACACTGGCGTATCACCATGCGTACAACCCAAAGAGGTACTACTGGCATCTGGGTTCCCCAGCTCTCTGTCCCTGGCCTCCCTCTTGTCACAGTACCGACACCCGACGGCTGAGCAAGGCCTACGAGACAGAGCATCTGCATTTGCATGTCCTGACCCTGCCCGGTATACTACCCTCATGTCGTACGTCTGAAGTTCCTCAATCCAGCGTGCCAACTGGCCCTCCGGCTCTTTAAATGACATTAGCCACTGGAGGGCGGAATGGTCAGTACGTACAGTGAAAGGTAACCCGCATAGGTAATACTTAAAGTGCTGAACTGCAAAAAGCACAGCAGCAAGTTCCCTTCTGGTGACACAGTATCTGCGTTCAGATTTGTTGAATGTTTTGCAGTAGTAGGCCACGACCTGTTCCCCCCCAGACCCCACCTGAGAGAGAACTGCCCCCATACCCACATTGCTGGCATCTGTGTCCAGAATGAAGGAAAGAGCTGAATCAGGAGGAGCCAATATAGGGGCTGTGACCAGGGCCTGTTTCAGGGCATCAAAAGAGTTTTGACACTCCTCAGTCCACGTGAAGGACTTATCCTTCTTCTGCAGGCCGAAAAGTGGGTCTGCAATGGTAGAAAAACCCTGCACAAACCTCCTGTAATATGAGGCTAACCCCAAAAAACTTTTGAGCTGCTGCGACGTTGTAGGAGTGGGCCACCCGCTCACTGCCTGCACCTTCTCTTCCACTGTGCCAATCCCCTGCCCCCCCAGCTTGTGCCCCAAGAACGTCACCTCCCTCCTAAAGAAGTGACATTTCTCTGGGTGTAGCTTCAAGCCAGACTCGCTAATACAACTCAGCACTCGCCTGAGAGCCTCTAGAGAGGCCTGAAAAGAACTACCATGGACCAGGATGTCATCCAGGTACACCAGACACTCTGACCGTGGAATACCTGATAACACCCTGTCCATTAACCTGGCAAAAGTAGCCGGCGCATTGCAGAGGCCAAAGCAGAGCACCCTGAACTGCCATAACCCCCTACTTGTACAAAAAACAGTTTTTGGTCTGGCTTCCGGAGCAAGTGGTACCTGCCAATAACCAGTACGCATGTCCAGGCAAGTGAACCACGATGACCCAGCTACAAGGTCCAATGATTCATCCACACAAGGGATGGGATACGAGTCCTTCCTAGTGACCTCATTAAGGCGCCTATAGTCAACACAAAATCTCCACTGACCCCCATTCTTAGGCACCATGACCACCGGTGCGGCCCACGCACTCTCAGACGGCTCAATAATACCCGCTCGCTGCATATCCAACAAGGCCTTATCTGCAGTATCCTGATGGGCAAAAGGAAGCCTCCGGGCCCGCAACCTGATGGGCATGGCATCGCCTGTCTCAATTTCGTGCTGTACCAGATGTGTTCGCCCCACATCCCCCTCCCCAAATGCAAAACAATGTTGGAAATCTACCAGCAAATCCCACAACTGCTCCTGCTGACTCGAATCCAAGCCCTCCCGATTCTTAAGCCACATCTCCCTCAAAGCAACCACCCCTCCCCCCTCTCCCAGAGGTGGAAACAGACAGACCTGCCCATCCCTGCTAGGGAGACTTGAAACTGGCTCTGAGGAGGATTGTGTGGCCACCCCCGGGTAGAGGTCAGCTGGGGTGTGGGGTAAGGGAGTGGAAGAATCATCTACCTGAGGTGGTCTGGTATCAGCACTCGGGCTGGATTGCAAATGCAATGTGTGGCACTCCAACCTAGAGTCCCCAGGAACATTTGCTGCCTCTAACAGACCGGTAAAATACATATCAACATTATTTTCAGTGGACATGACAACCTCAGGACCCCCTTCAAACCGAAGCAGGCCATCCCTTAAGTCTAACTGGCAACCTGCACTTTTAAGGAAGTCCAGACCAAGAATACAGGGGTCTTGTACTGTAGCCACCCACACCGAATGGCGTAATGTCTTTCCCCCTACCGTCAGCCCCACCTCTCCTTTACCCTTCATGGGTGCTAGTTCACCCATCACTGTGCGTAGTCGGACAGTGGTGGGTTCCAGCTTGGCATTTGCCGGAACTACATCTGGTCTCAACACTGTCACAGTCGATCCCGTATCCACCAATGCTAAACACGGCACCCCTTCCACCAAAATAGGTACATGACAAAAATCACTAACACATGTTCGCCCCACCACAACCACAGACTAATTTGTCCCACAATCTCCCTCCCCCAACAGTCCATGATTGTCTTCCCGTAATCCATTTCTTGGAACTTCTGCAGATGATGAACCCTGGTGGGGATGAGTGTTGGGGGTCCGCACATCCCCGATCATGCGGACCCCATCCCGTTTCCCTGGTTTCCGGCTAGCTTAGGACACTGTCGAACTAAATGTCCAACCTGCCCACAACCCCAACAAACCCTTGGTCGAGCACGAGGTCGTTGGTCAGGTTGCAGTGCTACAGCACGAATCAATTCAGTAATCTCCGAAACCCAGGCTGGTCTTTCACTTAGCCCCTCCCCCAGGTCAGCAGACCTGACCGGCACAGTATCTCGTTGTCTCTCATCCTGCACGCAAGTTCCCCACACAATCTCCCTCTCCAACGCCATCTCCAAGGCATCCTGCAAGGTCTGAGGGTGGGCAAGCTGTGTCTGCCTACGGAGCTCCACAGGAATAAGGGCCTGGA